TTCTCTTTTAAATATCACTTGAAAGTTGATTATTCTAAGAAAGAATGGCTTTTTAAAAAAATTTTGTATTCATGAGCAAGAATATTTTATTTGTAAATTATAAGAAGAAAAAATGCTATAAGCAATTTTAGGTTGCTTGGTTGGCACACTAAATAATCAGATATGTACATCTATTTGGTAGGTTATTTTTTGTTTTTGTTCATAATACAGTGAAAAATCTTTGGGGTTAATCATATTTTCCTCTTCAAGTGAATTTTAATACCTTAAAATGTCAAATTTACATTAGCCTTATATTTAAAATTTGAAGCTTTTGAATGTTTTTATATAGCCATAAATTGGCTTATTACACTCCCTCAGAATCCGTTTTATATATTTAATCTACTTGTTTTTGTGTTCTTATTTTGGTATATATAATCTCCAGTTCACATAAAGCCCATTATGTTCATGGGAGTGTGGGGATTAGAATGAAAATAAGCAAGATGATCCCTGCCACAGGAAACTGCTTTTGTGTAAGTGTTTAAAAAGCTTACATATCTGTTCAGATATGTCCTAATTCTGTATTCTGAAATAGGATTTAGTTCACAAAAGTGTAGAACTGTTTCTTTATCTTATCCAAGGCCATTATTTTGACCTGCTAGCAAACTGTAAATAGATGCCAGTCAGTCGAGAGCTTTATACAGTGTGTGTGCGTGTGTGTGCGTGTGTGTGTAAGATTGCAGATTTAATGTCAGTGCAGTGGCTGCTTTAAAAACAATTATTTGCTGGCAAAGCAGCCACTGAATGGTGAAAACAAACAAGATGAGTTGGCTTGTACTCTAAAAAGATGCCTCTTGATAGTAACCTATTTGAAACTTCTTGTAATATGAACTTTTCTAAGTAAGCAATATTGATATTTTACATACATTTATTTATCTTTTATATTTTAATTTATGATAATGTAATATGTCAAGTCTATTTTTATATTTTGTGTAATGGATTAGTTTATCTCCCTTGCACTGTCAATAACATGTGGCAGCATGTTAACACAATAGCAGGCTGTTCCAAAAGCTTTACAAAGCTAGGAGGTGAAACGATGAACTATGAAAGAGTAGCATAGTACACTAGTTGAAATTATGTATGGCCTGAAGATTGTGTTTAAGCATGAAACAGACTGTCACCACTTGGTGTTGACCTCAATGTCCATTTTTATATTTGCATAGGTACTATCCCTGATATTAAGCATTTTAACCTATAAATATAGCATACCTTAAAACTATTTCATATATATATATATATATATATATGATAGAATAATGAACAAGTAGGAAACTGATCTTAATCAACTGATGGAACGATACCAATATTTTTAACGTTTCTGATAGAATTCCCAATACTGTTTTAAATTTCTGATTCCAATACGATTCCTGCTTTCTACAATGATTAAAATTCGTTATTTTCAGGCCCTACAGTTGGTTTGTGAAACTTACTGAACAAAGTACATTTATTAATACAACATTTAGTAGAAAAAAATACAAAAACTTATGAAATAGATATCCTTTTTATTTAAAAAATTGGTTAAGAGTTTAAACAATAAAGAGAACAATTTCTTTATGAAAATCACTTAAGTACCTAGCTACTGTTGACATTGCTTTACTTTGGCCATCATCAGAAATCTTTAAAAAAAACTCCAAACTACACTTTTCTGCTTAGTATTGGATCCACTTGCCATAATTGGGATCTGAAAATAATAAAGATTGGTTAAAATTTAATTTTATTAAATTATTAATTAATTATTACTTATTATATTAAAACTGTAACTAGGGTCTGATCAGCATAGTTGCAATGGGGTCTGTGGGTGCCAAATGAACACAAATATACCTGAGTAGGCATCTGCAATAAGGATTGACTAGTTGGTTCGGCAGGTGGGTATACTCAGAAATGAGTAGCTGGCTATTCTCACTTCTTGCCCACTTCCAAGTAAAACTTTCAACCTGTCAGTGTAGAAGTACCTTCATATATCAAGTAACATGATTGCATCCATTGCATGGCTTGCTAGGCCTGTTGCTGTATCTTCCTCCATCTGAATACTGACCAAGCTTTGAAGCCAAATAGGAAACATTTATCAATCTAACATGTTTTTACTTTTATCAGAGACTGAGATATGGAGATTCTTAATCAGTTTATTTTTAATAGACACACTGTATTTGAAATAGATGCCACACTATTTAAAATAAAAATGGGATATCTATTTCAAATACAGGTATCTACTAAAAAAAAAAAATGCTTGAAGTTATGTGGGGGAAAAGGACTTCATAAGACTACACATGTGCACAAACAATGGATGGGAATTTTAAGTTTAATGTTAAAAAGTTTAAAATTCCCAGCATTCCTCATTCATGCACTTGTGTAGTCATACCAACATAACAGATTTAGTCTGAAGTCCTAAAGGCCGAAGCACGTTACAAAACTTTTTCCACTTTGTTGTATTTTTTCCCAATATTGTTCTTGATGTATAAAATATATATTGTTCTATTTCATACACACACACACACGAAAAACTTATAATAATAAGCATCAATTTCATATGTTATCAGTTTTGACTACATGGATAAAGTCGCATAAAGCTTTCTTAGCCTAGTCTGGTACAGGGCCTCAATAGTTGGAACTTCATAGAAGATAGAACTTGCTCCACTAAAGAATGGATTTATGAAATAGGCTTGTTTACAAAGTTTTGCCAGATTAAGCTACAATTGATGAAATGGGCTCAATTTGAAAGTCTGGCATTTCTAAATTTTGAATTGATTTTCCTCAGAAGTTATGAGTAATAAAACTTAAAATTGAATCTTGTTGCCTTTTCAAAAGTGTCTGTAGCAAACAACCCTAGTCAGGCACAAGGTAATGATATTGGAGTACTCAGAATCATTAATTTACTTTAATAATTATCTGCAAAAGGTAAGTGCACTCTAGTTAGGGAATTTTTTTTTTTTTTTTTTTTTTTTTTTTTTTAAATCAATAAAAGGGCCAAAAACCACTCAAGATAGATTACTGAATGAGATTGTTGAAAGGGCATACGAGGTAGGAATGAGGTCCATATTTTGAGGATATGTATGATTGATAACAGTTGACACTAGATTTAAAGAGGTTAAGCGTGTAGTGATCAAGAAAGTGTCCTCGTTAAAAGCTGTTCCACAAGGATGCTGATCTGAAGAAGCTGAGTGGAACTTCCTCCTTACCAATGAAATACAAAGTGAATGAGGATGAGTCACCAGTATGGATGCAGTATTGCAGGTCCTAGCTGTGAAGGTCTGAACTGGTGGAAATAAGGAATGTAGCATGTCTGAATATCTCACATGAACATAGCGATATAGTTGTGAGAGGCTAGCAATGTTTTATCTGTAGGTGGGAGGGTGGAAAATAATTCATCACCAACAAAGCTGCATTTTTTTTCTTTTAAACACTGTCAAGGTTGCAAAGTGAGGATTGGGCAGCTCCATCCCAAATATAGCAGCAATACTCCACTGTTCTAATCTGACTCTTGTAAAGACAATATGGCAGTCGGAGTTTGGTAGTTTCTGGAGTAATACAAGGAACTAAGCATTTTTGTAACTTTACCAATGTAGGAATAAGTAGAATTATAGTACAAGGTGTGGCAGTCGTATCTTCATCTAGCTCATATCTTAGCATTATGTGGAAGGTATTTCTGCCACGCACCATATAATGATACTGTGGGCTTAAAATTCTATTGATGCTAGTTTGTTTGTTTTTTTCTCTTTTTTTATTATAGATTCATTAATATTAATTGTTTTTTAATTGATTGCCTGTTTTCTTCAGGTGATATTTTACTCAATGCAAATTTGATATTCCACAAATTTTGGCATTTGACAATTTAAAGAGCTTTGTATAATGCACCTGTTGTGAATATTCAAATAATATTCCTCCTCAAAACAAGACAAAAAAAAAATTAACATGATCCTTTGTTTCTAAGAACCTATTTGTCTTTTACTGCTTAGAATATGTATTATTTTTCTAAATGCTGAAAGTGACAGTGTACCTGAAAATTTCTCATAGTAGAACCAATGATTTTACCATATATTGAGAACATTGCATATCTTCACCAACTGGTTAAGATCTTTATCTCTTGCCCACCATTGTTGAGGTTGACAGTGATTGTGACAGATTTTGTTGCTACTTCCTGGTTAGATAAGGTGGGTGAGTAGTTTAACCAAGTGCTTATGTATCCACTCTCTTCTCTCCGCAAGATCTATTTTTATATTGACATTTTGTAATGTGGTGTAATTCAAACAGAAGGATTCATGCCTTTCCTAAGTGCAAAAATGTTTTCAAGCTGCTTAGCTATTGAATTTTGTCAGGATGAGAGAGGAAAAAAAAAAACAGAAACCATTTATTAAAATATTAGCTATAAAAAAGCTTAATTTGGGTTATTTACAAGGGGTTCAGAAAGTTTTTTTTTTTTTTTTTTTTTTTTTTTTTTTTTTTTTTTTGACAAACCTATTTTCAAAAATATGCCTTAGAGTACCCCCCCCCCCCGGATTTCTAATTAGGCCAAGAAGTTTTTATTAGACTCTCATATTAAAGGAATAACTTTGCAAAATTCTGTATTGATTTTTGTCCTAAGTACTAGCAATATAAATAGTTTAGCTTAATTTGGCACAGGGCAACAAGAGAAGAGCACTCGTTGTGTATCAAACTTGCTGTATGAGTGAATGGTCTTGTGAAACTAGCTTGTTAAGTATTGGTTTAGACCAGGCATCCAAGTACTTAGTAACAAAGCAGTCCTATTAATATCCCAAGGAAGAGCTTATTGTAGCAAAAAACATATGTTTGGATTATTTTATTATATTTCTTTGTCAAGGATGTTGGAAAGATTACTTTTCTATTTCTTAATGCTTGTTACTTTGATGCAACTTGGTTGTATTTCAACTTTGAGAAAATATTTTTCAAATTTTAATCCTTTCTTTTTGAGCTGAGCCTTCAGTTTGATGCTATAATCACAAAGATAAATGTCTCGGGCCTAGTTAGTGCAAATATGGGCACAAGAGTTGGGTAGGAAATTTCAGCTTGCAGTTACCTCTTTTCTCCCTCTCTCTGTCTTCTTTTCTCCCTCTCTCTGTCTTCTTTTCTCCCTCTCTCTGTCTTCTTTTCTCCCTCTCTCTGTCTTCTTTTCTCCCTCTCTCTGTCTTCTTTTTCCCTCTCTCTGTCTTCTTTTTCTCCCTCTCTCTGTCTTCTTTTCTCCCTCTCTCTGTCTTCTTTTTCCCTCTCTCCCTCTCTCTGTCTTCTTTTCTCCCCTCTCTCTGTCTTCTTTTCTCCCTCTCTCTGTCTTCTTTTCTCCCTCTCTCTGTCTTCTTTTCTCCCTCTCTCTGTCTTCTTTTCTCCCTCTCTCTGTCTTCTTTTCTCCCTCTCTCTGTCTTCTTTTCTCCCTCTCTCTGTCTTCTTTTCTCCCTCTCTCTGTCTTCTTTTCTCCTCTCTGTCTTCTTTTCTCCCTCTCTCTGTCTTCTTTTCTCCCTCTCTCTGTCTTCTTTTCTCCCTCTCTCTGTCTTCTTTTCTCCCCTCTCTGTCTCTGTTTCTCCCTCTCTGTCTTCTTTTCTCCCTCTCTCTGTCTTCTTTTCTCCCTCTCTCTGTCTTCTTTTCTCCCTCTCTCTGTCTTCTTTTCTCCCTCTCTCTGTCTTCTTTTTCTCCCTCTCTCTGTCTTCTTTTCTCCCTCTCTCTGTCTTCTTTTCTCCCCTCTCTCTCTTCTTTTCTCCCTCTCTGTCTTCTTTTCTCCCTCTCTCTGTCTTCTTTTCTCCCTCTCTCTGTCTTCTTTTCTCCCTCTCTCTTTTCTCCCTCTCTCTGTCTTCTTTTCTCCCTCTCTCTGTCTTCTTTTCTCCCTCTCTCTGTCTTCTTTTCTCCCTCTCTCTGTCTTCTTTTCTCCCTCTCTCTGTCTTCTTTTCTCCCTCTCTCTGTCTTCTTTTCTCCCTCTCTCTGTCTTCTTTTCTCCCTCTCTCTGTCTTCTTTTCTCCCCTCTCTCTGTCTTCTTTTTCTCCCTCTCTCTGTCTTCTTTTCTCCTCTCTCTGTCTTCTTTCTCCCTCTCTCTGTCTTCTCCCTCTCTCTGTCTTCTCCCTCTCTCTGTCTTCTTTTCTCCCTCTCTCTCCTCTTTTGTAAAAGCCTTATTTCATGATTATAGTTGTCTTTCAGCCAGGCGTTTTAGAAATATCTAGTTCTTACCTCATCCAATGACTACTTTCCACATGACACTGTTTTTCAATAATTTCTGTAACTGTTTTTGGAAATTGATTTTACTGGAAACTCTATCCTCTTTATCTACTCAGGTTTTTTCTTTTCTTTTTATATCCTTGGATCTCTTCTCATTTTCTGAATTTTACTCAAGGGAAGTATTTGAAAGCTCATGATATGAACTCTTTGTTTCTATTTCGTATGTGTGTATATATATATATATATATATATATATATATATATATATATATATAAATATCTCCTTAAAAAAAAAAGATATACTCCTTTCCCAAGCCAACATGCATGACCATAGATTTTTTTTTTAAATTAAAAGAAAATGTTTAAATTCAAAACCTTCCATTATTTAAAATAAATACATGAATGTTTTATCAAATTAAAATGAAATAATAAATACAAAAAAATAAAAAAAATTTAACAATAACATTTACTTAATTTTGTTTATTAGTCATGAAATTACCTCACTTGGTATCTTCCATAGTTTACCCTGACTTTCATGTCCAAATGAATATTTATGAGTGTTCTTAAATTTAAAAATTCTGAAGACCTAACATTATTATTGCTTGTTTATAGATACTTGTTGCAAAATAAAATCCTTGCATTTGCCTTGACGATGTCCGTCATAGGACAAAACGTGTTTGTAAAAACGTTTTCCTCTCATCTTTATTCATAAATTTTTATATATCAAGAACAATTTTAAGAAAATCTATGAGAAAGTTGAAAACACTTTTTTGTGCGACTCATTCCATCCTTTAGGAGTTAAATATGTGCATGAAGGAGAGCAGATACTGAAATTTGAAATCAAAATTTTTTTTTCTCTCTCCAAATATGTATTTTTCAGGTATATAGCAGATCTTATGAAGGCACAAATGATTGCAAGATCAGCTACATGTATTTGTGTGTTCACTTTCTAACCATGAAACCTGTGTTTGAATCTCACCATAATTGATTTGTTATGAATATGACTTCTTGATAATAACCTGCTTGGGGAGTCAATCATAGTGTGCGACATCTTTGGAAAGTGCCTGAAAATCAAACTCTGGATTGACCCGAGTTTTGTGAGTTAAACTGGGTAGACAGAACCTTTTCCTTGATGCTTGTGCTAGCATGAAATCACAAGTCATTGTGACTGAGGGTTTGAGCATAGTGGCTTTGTTGATCATGCCAGATGATACACTCTCTCTCTCTCAGAAACTGTAACTAAAGCCTGCTCAGCATAGTTTCATTAGGTGTGGAATAAACACAAATGTGCCTGAACAGGTGTCTCTGCAACAGGGACTGGCTAGCCATCCCAGTTGATAGGCATACTCTGAAACCAGCAACCAGCCATTTATATATATATATATATATATATATATATACACACACACACACACACACAGTAATACTCTTGAGATAAGAGTTTAATTCATTTCAAGACTGAGCTCATAACTCAAAAGGCTCATATCTCAAATCAGTTTTCCCCATTGAAATTAATGGGAATATTTCTGATCCATTCTAGGCCCCTAAAAATCACCCTTATTTGCCTAAAACTCACCCTTTTTTTTGTATTTGTGGGTTTCTTACAAGCAAAAACATTTGAATAAAGAAATGTAGTTTACAAACAAAATAAGAGAAAAAACATTGTAAAGAAATAAACTACTAAATCATGAAGTTCAGATGAGTCATAGGCCAACTGATGGAGGAGAGAGAGAGAGTGACAACAACAGCTTGCCAAGTCTACAATACTGAACATTAATTTTATCACTTAATTTAAAAGAATTTTTAAACATTTTTATCCATTACTGTAAATAATTTTTAAAATTTTATTTTTATTGTCGATATAGAACATTCATACTGTCTTGCCAAATCTATTACTCTTATGTCTTCCTCATGATTCTTTTATCACTTTACCTCAAGTAAAATCATGTGTTTCAGTTTTTCACCATTGCTCTTTACAATTACTAACAGATTGTTTCAGATTGAGGTGAACACATGTACTGCAAGTGGAAATAGTCTTCAAGTCTGGTGCTCACTGCACCAACTAGTGGATGATTAACTCAAAGTCACTTGTATCTTAAAATTTAGCTTGTATCTCAAGGCAAAAAATTGGCTGAACTCCAGTTTGTATCTCAAAATCTTGTATGTCTGTATGCTCATATCTCAAGGCATTACTATATATTAATTAATGGCTAGCCACTTGTATTTGATGATACCTGTCTAGTATGGCTAGCTAATCCCTATTGCAGACGCTCGCTCAGGCACGTTTTGTGTTTGTTCAACATCCACAGAGCCCATCTGTGGTTTATACTGTAACTATGCTGAGCAGACCTTAGTTACAGTTTCTGGGAGAGAAGTATGTTATCGAGCATGAACAACAATCTGAACAAGGTCAGCATGCTCAAACCCTTGGACTTGTGACTTTGTGCTAGCACAGCTATCAATGGTCCCCAAGCGTTCCATTCCGCCTACCAAATTTCACTCACAAGGCTTTTTCAAAGTCGTATGGTTTTCAGACACTTTGCAAAGGTGCTGCATGCTGGGGTTGTCTCTTCCAGACCAATAACATTGACCATGGTGAGATTCAAACCTGGGTCTCATGGTCAGAAAATGAATGTTCTAACCACTAAAAACAACTTCTTCAGTTAAGATATGTTTGCTCTAGTGTCTCAGCATACACTTGAGTCTGGCCATTACGGCAGGTGTTGTTTAGTTATACTTGGTAACTCCAGTCTACACTCTTTATCTGTGTACCAACTCTCTCTTTCTCACAATTAGTTGAACTTTTAATAACTACTTTATGGAACATAAAACAAGAGAAACTAAAAGGACAGTTCCACCCCTTTTTTTTTTTTTTTTTTTTTTTTTTTTTTTTATTATTTACCTGGGGGAAATATTGACATAGGATAGGGTAGAGGAAATTGAGGCATGTCTTTTTTTTTTTTTTCTTTTCTTTTACACCACTTCCTTCCTGTGTAAGCCTATCCTTCGATTTCCACATTCTTCTAGAAAAAAAAAATCACTAACAACTTCTTCATTTGAAGTTCTATTATTAATTTCTACTATGTGAATTTTACGTCTCTGTACATGTGACTTCATTAGTCTGCTTGCTTGCTTAAAAACATATCACAAAACTTAATTGAATAATTTTTCATGTGAATTTTATATGATCAGAATAGTCTCTAGCTGCTGAGATTTGTTGAAGGAAAAGTGGTATTTTCTGTCTAAGTGTAAAATGTCTCTTCAGACTGATCTGATTTTTATGTAGAGGTATTCTAAGCTGTAATTAAAAACTAACATTTTCCTTAGTATGAGCCATAAGGGAGAGCAGGGGGAACTCAAGGAATAAAAATTGGCTGGGAAAGTTCTTGCAAATTTCTAAAAGTCAGAATTTTTCTGTTGAGGGCCCTATAATTTTCAGTGATATATTTAATGTAATCTTTAATGTAAAAAAATAACTTGATTACTTGTAATCCATCATATATTCAAAATACATCTGATCATTGTGAAGTAAGTAGTTAGTCTATTTGCAACTTTGCTTTGGATCATGGTGGGAGTGGGCTAAAAAAAAGTAAGCACTTTTTAAGATTGTATGAATACAGCAGCATTGGCTTTTATAACTCTCTTCAGGCTTCTTGGTTTCTAGTAAAATGTTTTGATCTTCAAGCTGTCTTAATTCCTGTTCTTACATTATTTTTGCTCCTTAATAATGTTTTTCTTATATTCTTTCATACTCAATGCCCCCCTCCCGTTTTAGTGGCTTTAATGCCTTGCTTGAGGTAAAATAATTACAAAAAAATCAAACAAAAAAACTTATGTATCTTTATATACTTGTATATCCTATATCTGCATGTGGCTTTCACTCTGTTATCAGACCCCAGAAAGCATACATAAAATGATGCCCTCGAAGTCAATCGATGGCAACAAATATGTAGATTTTAGGTGATTAACACTGTAATAAAGTTTGGGAATTTTGTAAAATTTGGTTAGGGGAATCCTGGAAAGTCAGGGAAGTTGGTTTGCTCAAGTCATTGGTCACTCCTTAAAGATCTCCTTCAATTATCTTTTTGTTGTAATCCAATAAATTTTTGGAGGAATGTTTGAATACAAGAGTAATTATTACATATCAAGTCAGATATGAGATTTCCAGTTTCTTCTAAAATCTATTTCAACCCTATATTTCTAACATTTCCACCTAAACTCTAAAATTTTATTTTACTATTTATTTATTTTTTTTTACTTCAATAAGAGTAAATAGGATCACCTATCGTCTAGTTCGTACTCGTCTCTAACCAGGAGTAAAGGTTTTTTTTTTTTGTTTGTTTCTTTTTTAGGATTGAGCTCCCAGTAACTTCTAAAGTCTTTTCTTTCTATTCCACTCCCAGTAACTCCTTACATCTTAGTGGCTTTCTCACCTTGCTTGGAATGAATTGATTAAAGAAAAAAAAAAAAAGAAGAAACTAAAGATTGAGTTTAAACATACCCCTCTGAGGCAAGGGAGTGAGAATTCATTATTAAGCTCAATGTCTAAAGTTAAGGTGCTAAAATAAGTCTTTTAACTCTCTTTGGGAACTGTTATGTATTTCCCAACAGTGCCAGCAGTTGAGTTCAGGCAAAATCTAGGGTTTCAAATGCCCCCTCCTCCTAAAGTTGGCATTGGGAGTAGGAGCTTATCCACTTGGAAAACTAGGGTAATACTGTCTTCCAACATCAGTTTCTCACTGTTTGGATGTTGTCAAAAGTATTTCCCAAGGTAAAAGAAAGGTGGGTGGGGGGAGTAAGTGGAGTGGAACTACCTTTCCTTTCTCATTTTCCGTTTCATAAAGTAGTCCTGAACGCTCCCATGGGTTGTGGGACACAGAAGATGTGGACTGGGGTTATCAAGTATGACTAAATGACACCTGGGCTGGACTCAAGTGTATATTGAGTGACTAAAGCCATCATATC